AAAAGCTACTTCACATGTGCTCCTCTTCCTTAAAAATATGCTGAATGGAGTTACCACTAAGTGTCAGATTTGTACTAATTGCTGCCCTTTTGAGACATTTGGAAAAAACAAAAGGAAATTAATAGACCAGGAAATAATCTATAATAAATCAAAATGCAGCCAATGTAGTAATTATTTTGTTGCTTCTATCATTAGACTGGGTGTAGAAAAGCAGAATTCAACAGACTTTCCAAACATAATGCAGGGTCCTCCAAATCAGAAAGTAACATTCAATCTAGTTTATTTGCATGAAACTAATATATTTAGCTGTCTTCTTCCCACCCCTCCTCTTTTGAAGTGATAGATGTTTGAAGCTGAGGTCCAGATATCTCAACCAACCTTAATAACCCGTTTGGTTCCAGAAGAAAGGAAATGGTTTGCAATACCTTAAAGTCTACTAGACCCAGTGATTATTTATTTTCTTTATATCTTCCATTTCTGTAGATCAGCTCTAACCCAAAAGCTATGAGATCTGGTACAAGAGCAGTGCTGTACCCATGCTAACAGGCCCTACTGAAAGGAAGGGTATAATAGCTCAGACTTCAACAAGCCACTTTAGGGCAAAGACAGTCCGAGTTCTCATTTGCCTGACTCAACCAGGTATGTTAGTGCAAAGTTTCAGATACTTCTTCAGGCCACTTTAGCTTAGAAAGCTTAGATCAGTCCACCAGGAAACAGAAACAACATCCTGGGCAGAGACGACCAGTAGTACATAAACAGTGGGAATTGCATGACAAATAATCCTCATAATTAATGGGTAATGTAGATTTTTATCAGTTTGTTCAGTGAAAAAACACATTATGGACACGTAAGTGCTAAGAAAGAGAGTAAGACTGAGAAATATAATTTACACTGCTCTATCAATCAATAGTACAGGAATGTTCACATGCAAGGCCAGCCCCATGCATTGCATAAAACAGTATAGGATTGAGCTCATGTTGAGTCATACCATAAATAACCGTGCCATGCTATTTTCGTTTTTGTCACCCCCACCTAAATGCATATCAGCAGTAGCTGAGAGAAGCAGTGTAAACCACTGCTTAAAATTCTCCCACCAAAATGAGGGAGAGTCAATGTGATTTCCATGTCTTTGCTGGAATTCATTCCCTCTCTGGATACTGCCAAACCAACCCAACCAGGGATGACTCATCTGCAGGACCTCATAAAGTACTTCTGAAAAGCTTGGGTTTTGCCTTTGGAATGCACTGGATTACACCAAGTTTGTGATGCTCCAGCATGGGGGAAGAGGGCATCCCTGACTCTTCCCTACAAGGACATTCCCAGCCTGTGCTCTTCAGTATTACCTGTGCTCAATGTATTCCTTACTACCTAAGGAAAGCATTAAGCATTCATTCCTTTGGCACATGGTATGACCCTTCCACTTCAATTTTGCTTCTGAGACAACATTTTTTTGCTAGCATAGGAAAACAAATGAACAAATTGCCTAATCCCTCACTCTTCCTTTTTTTCCTATTTCTAACTTTGTGGTAAAGAGATGTGCGATGAGGTATAGAGGAAAAAATCTGTGGGAGTCCCAGATAAAATGCCGTCAGCACATCACTGGGTAAAGTAGAAATATTAAAAAACCAAAGAAGCAAAGAAGGGCAAAAATAAAACAGTAAAAGAAAATAAATATTCCACAGCAGAAGTGAATAAAAGCCAGTAGAACCATTTTGTCTAGTTGATAGATCACATGGCAGTGAGTATGAATTAATGAGTAAAGAAGTCCACTTGGGTGATAGTGATTTTTTTCTTAATGCATATTAACTAAAATTGAACCCAGTATTTGTAGCACAACATATTGCAGAGCTATGAAATGTACTACCACCTACACTGTGGTAGCTAAGTTAGGTTAGCTAATAAGCTAACAACCTAATATGACTTTAAATTGGGCAAGAATTTCATAGCAATAAGATCATTAGTGACAACAGTTAAGATAAACATTTAAAGAGTACATCATTCCTCACATTTGAGGACTGAAATAAAACGTTTTGCTGATTGGAGTTAGGAAAAAACATCATCGCTGGTAGATTTTTGCATCATTGTCTGCCACGGCTGATAGACAACTTTAGTTGAAGCCCCTGGGTTCTGGCAACTTTCATCAAAGGCATGGGGAAAAGCCTGTTGTTCCGATTATGACGATTTCAATTACCCTATGTAAGATTATAAAAAGTCATAGAAAGAGGTAAAGAAAAACAAGAAATTCCTTGGTAATAATCACACTTAAATCTGTATAATACACCAGGAAAGACGGGAAAACATTATGGTTCCTAGCTTCAAGAATTTACCAAATGTGCACAAAAGGTATCCAAAGTTCTACCTGTTGAAGTTCAGACAGCTCTTTAGCTGTCCAGAGATGCTTTACATATCTATTTCTATTGATGTTATCAGAACTCTTGAGGTGGATTTTCTCAGAAGTTCCTCAGGAATTAGCTTTAAAAACCTATTTATTGATTTGGCCTATCTGAAGTGGTTTGCGTGAGTTCCTTGACAGTCACATCTGAAATGAGTTTCTACTTGCTTGTATCTCGTTCTGTGAGCCCAAAAATTGAAAGGCAAAAGGTATATTAAGTCAGCACTATATATTATTTATTTAGATCATGTTTTTATAGAAATCTTTGGAAAGGAAAATAGAGGTCCATTGGGAAAATGCACTCAAAGTGCTGTGTTTGTCATATCTGGACAACCTAGCTCTAACAATATGTGTGTTCATCTCCAGCTGCTGGCCTGGTCTGTTATAAGGTCATATATTGCAGAAGCAAAATTGGGCCTGTCTCACAGAAGACTAGAGAAATGACTGAATCAGGACTGAATAAGGGAATGTTTCTCTTGCAAAATGGTAACATAAATGATATGGGTCTGACTCATAATACAGTTGGTTTCCACTAACTAACAGAATAACATGATGATCTACAGAACTGAATTCCAGACTCTAAGCTAAGATAATTTTTTTTTTCTCATTTTCCATCTGAGTCAGTTAGAACAAAACCTGTGTTGAAGAGACCAAGTCGCATGCTTTTTGCTTCCCCATTTAATCTCATGCAGGTATCCCCATTCGATCTGAGATGCAGAAGATATTTCACATGTCAGAAGCCCCATAATGGTGGTTCAAACATGGTTCCAACTCATAAGGGACTTACAATGCAAATTACCTGTGGATAGTTTGACCAAGAAAATAAATACTTCTCATGGACAGAAGAACTGATTTCATTTAATTGAAAGATGATGAATCCAGGAGGCATGTGAAAGCACAGTGCCACATGTGTCTCTCAATTCACAGGTTTCAAGGTTCCAGTTCTAAAACAGGGGACATCCAGCTTAATGGGAGAATGAGACAGAAGCTCAGCCACATCAAATCTCTGGCCACCACTTTGTCCTGTGCGTGTTTTTCTAATGGAGAGTATAGCCTGTCTCAGTGCTTTCAATTTCGTGAGTCATACCTCCCCTGTTTAAGTGTAACTATTTTTAATTCTACCTAATTTAGATAGAATTTTTAATTAATGGAGCACATTATTATGTCTGTAGTCAATCTCCCCTTTCTGTACTCAGAAGGGCTATCCTGAATCTGGTTATTTTCTTGCAAAATCCATCCAGTGTAATGATTTTTCTTCCTGAAAATGCAATGAGTGATCTCTTCTCTTTAATATTTTGTTTAAAACATTAAGTTGCACGTACACCCTAGAAGAATTTTGCACATGGGATCTGAGCTACGATCTTAGGCAGTCTGAAAGAACACATCAGTCTGCTGAATACGATATCCAGGAAAATACAAGTTCCATTTCAAAGGTAATGCACTTACACATATATATATGTATATAAATCTGTATGGCATATTTGCTGTACAGGCCTAGACTCCTTGTGAAGTTGTTTTTCAGTATAGCAAATTAGAAAAACATGCCCAGAATTAAAGGTTACTTAATTGGGTTGAAGCAGTAACTTCAATTCCAGCAACTCCCTCCCACTATGTTACATCTGATAATATACCCAAGTCCAAACATAAAACTTAGTTCAAAAAGATGTTTGGTCCTTGAATGTAAAATGACACTTAGCTTACACAATTAGCCAGGTAATACATATCCTTCCATGAGAAGCAATTTTTACCGCAGAATAATCTACATTTTACTAATCTCTGATTGTTAAATTTTACTTGCTGAAACTTTTCCATATGGCTTTTTGAATAACACTGTCCTGTATTTAATTACTACAGAAAGATATTAATAAAGAGGTTGTAAATTTGGGCCAAACTGGTTCCAGAGTTTGGACAGTTTGATCAAGACAAAGCCAATGAGCAGAACATTTCTGTCAATACAAGGCTGTGCCATTTCACACATAAAAGTAGTGGCAAAAGAGAAGTAAACAGATCTATAGAAATAAAATACCTTACTATTTTTGAATTGTCAATAAACTTCTAAAATAGTATGGACATAAAGTAATATTGAGTGAAGTGAAACACTGGTTTGCTAACCTAAAGGACAGTCAAAGAGGAATCAGTGGAGTAGTCCTTGTAATCAAGACTGTTTTAATCAAACTGTAAGTAAGATGCATGCCCAGAAATGCACTTCCTAATTTTAAAGACAAAACATGATACTGAGCAGAACCAGGGCAAGGGTAGGCTGCTTGGAGTGCAGAGGATGCGAGGAAGCTAACGTGGGTGGGAAAGCATATGTTGCTGCCTGGGTGAGGAAGTGGTACACCACAGTTACTTCATAAGTGCAGGGGCTTTATAAAGTAAATCTCCTAGGGACTGTTTTAAATAGACAAAGAATGACATGCAGCCCTGACAGGCTTTCAGTATTGTTTGAGAAGGCTGGCTGCCTTCTAAAAACACTGGACTGCCACTTGTACTTTTTCCAAAAATGCCTATTTTTAACCTCAGCCTCTTCATATAAACAGTGGGCAGATGCACCATTTAGTAAACTCTGTTTTGTCTAGCATGAAATTAATGGCTTCCTCAGTCTTACCTGACAGTGGAAAACATATTCCGGTGTGGTTTTCTTGAACTTCATGTTCCATACCAAGGCTACCCCATCAGGCTCATGTGGAGCATCTTCATTATTATTATAAGATGCAACCATCAATTCAGGGTACTAGAAAGAAAAAGAAAAAGCAAATGAGTAAGATGGATGATGAAGAATCTATGCAAAATCAGATGAGACAGAAATAATCTCACACTACATGTGCAATATCTGGTTTTAATTATATTAGACACTAAGTCCAGTCATAGTATTCAGCTTTATTTTGGTTTTATATTTTACTCGCCCTTCATATCCTTAAAGCCCCTCTATCAGTTATTGTCAGATAGCACAAAGGCAATTTTACTTTCTGCAGGTAATTCTCTGAAAAGACAACTAGCAGGATAGTCATAAAGGGAATGCAAAGCAAAGAAGAGGAAAAATCTGAAAGCTTGAGTAATTCTAATATATTTGCTTAACTATTTCTTCAGGAATAAACCATTCTCTTAATTGATTTTGATAATAAAAACACTATGACCATAAGACTGACTTGCTTTTATTCCAAAATTCACAGTTTTTTCTGCATCCTTGAAAACTATTATTTGTAATTTCCTTATGCACTCTTCCTATTCACTTATGTGTAGAATCAACTTAAAAGCTCTTCTTGATGATTCAAATAGCAAACAGAACATTTTCTTCACAGAAGCTCAATTTTGCAAGATGCTGTGGTCATCTTGTAAAGCACAGGGTGACCCCAAATTCCACTTACTCAGGAAGACTGATGCAATGAGCATTCTAAAATCAGATCCATATTTTCTTGTACACCCATTATCCACTGATGTAAAGTAGATACGGAGCACACACATATATTTGCTTTGCTTATATATCTGTATATATACATATATATACACACACATGATATCATATATGAAAAATCAGATTTTCATGTTCTGTTGACGACCTTGCATCATTTCAAAACACCATAAGAAGTAACAGTTTGCCCACAAAACATCAATTACTTCCTGCCTATACAACAGCACCTAGTTCTCCACACCAACATGTTTGACACTAGCCACCTCTGGCAGCCTCTCCTTCCTTCTAAACAGTTACAGTAAGGCAGTGCACCTTGTGGCATGTCGAGAGAAAAGCACATGGCTTCTGCAGAACAACCAGCCAGCAGCTCAAGCTCTGCAGGATCCATACTCTCTTCTTGTATACTAAGAATGCTTGCCCTCAAAATTTCTCAATGGTCTCTGCAAATCGTTGCAACTTTTTGTCTTTCCCAGGTAAATTCCTCCCAAACCATTCACCACTTTATAGGGGAACAGGGCAGCTGGTAGATGTAAAAGAAATGGGACAAAGAAACTGCCAATACTACTATTGGGAGCTGTGAATTTGGTCCACACCAGGCATTTTAAAAATTAAAAAACCCACCACCCTTTACGTCATTATTATTAAGGTCTGAATCTCTCTGATCTCAAAATCCATTTCAAAGAAATAATGCGCACAGCCATAACTTTTGCCATGGGCAGCTGTTCTTTCCCACTCCGTGTACACTTCCATGGATAATACATCATGGAGCTGATGATTTTTCTACTCAAGCTCATTGTTTCAAATGAGCCTGGACCCATGCGCGGGAAAACTAGCAATGACACATGGCCACCATAGCTGCCTCTTTCCCATTTTGGTGTGGCTCTGGCTGGGTTGCACCTATATCCTGGCAGACCCTGGTTGCTGGCACAGCCTTTAAGGGTAATTTAGCACCCAAATCACTTGCATGGGATTTAGAGCATGCAGCAGACCAATCACCTCTTCTCCCTCCTCAAGAACTGAGGGTTGTTTAATCCCACACCTGGGACACTATCTCTCTGCACACAGTTGTGCCAGCCTGCCCTCCACTGCTCTCCTCCATCTCACCCCTCTCTTCTATCTCCCACCACAGCAATTACAACCACTTCTGAACAGTGCACTCAGCTTGTTCTTTGAACCTTTTCATCCCATGTTGGCCCCGGTCCAAGTAAACAGGACACACAGTAGGCTCTTGCTCAGGGCATCTTGTTTTGGCTGAACAGATTAGACACCACTCGTGAGAGCAGCTGAGCCTGCAGTTGTGAAGGGACAGATACCTTGGCAGGGAGAAGCAACAAGCCCTTCCAACGGCATGACTGCAGCCAGCTAGGGTGTGTGACCAGGTCTGAAGCACCAGTTTAGAGGCACTTTGGGGCTGGTTCATGCTCCTGGAAAGTTTAGCAAGAATGTTCTGGTTGGCAGCACGTCTGGCTGTAAACAAACACTGACTCGAATCTTGCTACTCTACATGTAGGTTTTGCAATCACAGTTTATGCATCTGACTGAAAATATGGTTTCAAGTTTACACATATGCTGGGGTCATACCTAGCTGGGCAACAGCATTATCGGGTTTTTTGATTCTTAAAAAAAACAGAGCAAAGCACAGCACCCTAAATCCACTCTGGCATTGCATACTCGCCGCTTCATTCCGTCTACTTGTATTTACAGAATATCAGTCCTCACCAGGGGCCAGCTGTCCTGTGACTGCAACTGAAAACAACGTGGAAATAGTGCTGTGGGAAATGGCATTCAAGGCTGCCGCTGGAGAGTCAAGAGAGCCACAGCAGTATCCCTAATTCTGTGGTTTTCTTGGCTTTTGACGAGCTAAGTTAGCTCCTCATGAGCAGAGCAAGGTGATCCCACTCTCTATGTTTACATTCAGCCTATTGAATCTCTCCCTTAGATCCCTGATGAAGCCTCTAAGTCATTTTCCCTTTGCTCTGCAAAAGAATCAAGGGGCTAGTGGCTTAGCTTTAATGGTATGAATGATCCCACATGTTTGGGACCATATTTTACATGTGACTGGGAACAGAATAACTTGTTTAATCAATGCATCAAGGTCCTTTGTTTGATTAAGCTCCTATTTGCCTCCAGGCTGTTTTGCAGCAACAGTTTTATCACAGAAAATTTAGCAATGTATTCAGCAGTTCCCAGGATTATTCAAGCTATCCTTTGGCATACTGGACACTGCCATGTCCTGGAGCATGAGTGAGAAGTGGAGCTAGCAGCAGTGAGGTAAAATACCTCCGTCCAGTTCCAGCTCCTCAAAGCAGGCCAGAGAGGAGGCAAGTCCCTCCTCCCAAGCTAGTGTGGGGTGGCACACAGAAGTCCCCCAGCATGGAGAAGCCACCTGGGCAGAGGGGCCCCCGCTGGGGTGCCAAGGAGCTGAGCATGAAGAGTTAATGGAGGGGAAGGCAGGAGGGGCCACCGTGGAACAAAGAGGTGGGAAGCAGAACATGCCTTCGAGCCCCAGGGGCTGAGCAATTACATTTGGCAGTGCTCTTCTGAGGCAGCTTTTTTTTCTTGCTGCCCTGGGAATACAGTAAGAGCTGCCTGTTAGGAAAATATCAGATAAGAATTCCATGTAATTTCCAGCCCCTGAACAAGTGAACAACCTAAGATAAGTGTTTCCTCAGGCTTGTATTTGATTTTTGTGGAAATCCATATGTGCTTAAAGGCCACCCACATTACACTAGTGCATACCTGTAGTTAAGCTGATACTTTGTATGAAAGCAAAGGGATAAATCCTTCATTTCACACACAAGGTACAAGCTGGATATTACAAGAAGTCTCTCTGCAGTTGGCTCTTGTGCACTGCAATCAGAGAGCCAGACCTGCACAGCCTACCAGCAATGTTCTGTGAGACCCTCCAACTCCTCCCTGCTGCCTGCCATGTCCTCCGTGCAGTCAGCTGCCACCTTACCTGAGAAGGACCCAGTGGGATGGAAGCAGCCCTGCTGCCATTTCAAGGGGAAGGAGAAAAGGATGGATGCAAGAGTCACAGCGCTACTTATCCCCTGCCTCTCCCCAGCCTGCATGCACCATTTACATACTTGGCCTTAAACACATGCCGTCTCCACCACCTAACGTGGTGCAGAAAGAGCAGCTGCTTCTAAAATTAGGCTAAGCAAGGCTTGTTCTTAGCACTGGGTTGAGCTACATCTACAGCATTTTTGCTACCAGGCTGCATCAGGGCTCTGGACACACCAGGGCACACCTGAGGCTGGGTTTGGGGCCAACTAGGCAGACAGGCTTGCGTTTGTGTTTTTCAAGCCTATGTTCTCCTGGAGCAGTTTTGTTCTATCTGTATTGTGGACCTTGGAGCAGAGTCTCCCTGGTTTCCTCCCCAGGCAAACCAGCTGCTTTGCTCCAGGCTGGAACCTAGAACAGACTAACAGGGATGAAGCAGAGAGGATGAGGGAGGCTGGAGTGAAACTGGGACTGAATGAATTTGACAGGACCTGTGGTGATGTGTGTGTATGCTAATCCCAGCTCTCCAACGGAGTAACTAATTAACCTGATTTCTGTGTTTTGCTGATGTGGCTGTATTGATTTTGGGGAAGCTTAGGCAGCTCTGTCATCAGTTTTATTCTGCAATACGCCAATGCTTTGCGGTGCTCAGAAACTGGTTATGTTCCAGGCACCCTGCTTTAGCACGCCCCCTGGCCAGCTGCAGCCTCCTCTTCCATCGCTTGAAGAGAGGACCCACCATTTTGCAAAAGACCTCTTTTACAGTCTTTTCAAGTTGTTCAGATACTTTCACATTTTGAGTTTGAGTATATTAGAAAAATAAATTTTATTCCTTACTGTTCCTATTTTTTATTTTATATATTATTATATATAACTATTTATTAAAGCAATTGCTACATATTCAGTAAATTATTTTTAATTGGTTTAATTTTAAAGCTTTTGTCTTAAAAAAATTTCCATGTTCTGAGGGAGTGGAGGGGGGAGCAAAAGTAAAGACTCCTTCATCTTAGTAGGTTAGTTAACCTATAGTTACATCCTGGTTTTGAAGACCAAGTAACATATACAAAAAAATGACAGCATCATTATTGCCCACTACTCTCCTTTAGGGTGAAACATGCATTCATTCATACAGGGCCCTGCTGTTAGCTAAGAAATAACATCATACTCTGCAGAATAAAGGGCAAAATGACACTGGCTGTACTTTTTAGGGAGAAGTTGGAAGGTATATGGAAACATATCTCCTGGCTTCACAACTTACCTGAAGAGACCAATCCATACAGGTGACAACACGATGCTTTGACCAGTGCTCATCATAAAACTGACGGTTAAAGGAAAGGTTGGCTCCTGCTTGAACATCTCTGTGTGAATTCAAACAAAGTGACACTTTTTGAAGTACCAGAGTGCAAATGCTGTGAAAAGCAATGCAAAAGTTTCTGACTACTTCTCAAATCTCTGTCCAAGCTGGTTAAGTCTGCCACCTTGATTTATTTGCTCTCATTGTCTTGCTCAGAGTAACAAATCTGCACCAAGGAACACATTTTACATGTGTTTCACAAAATCACTTAATTTCTTAATTTCCCACTGCCTTCCTGACTTTTTTTCTGGCTCACTCTTCTGGGCCACCCTGGGCCACCTTTGTCTCTCAGGACTGAACCTGGGCCTGGCATTCAGTTCCCCCTTTTCTGAATCTTCACGTCCAAGCTATAACCAAATCTCTCTTATTTTTAACTCCTGAAGTCTTAAAGGTACAGCACCTCCTCCCAGCGATGGAGGGAGAGGGTGCTTTCTGGCACCATTAGAATGGGCTGAAGCTCAGTGCTGGTCCAGTGCTGACACACTGACACATTTTGCTGGTCCACAGGGGTGATGCTCTAGAGTAACCTCCAGTAAGTAACTTCAGTGAGACACAACTACTGATTTGCCATGAGACTTCAAAGGATACGCAGCTGTTGAAACCTTAATATTTCCTCTCCTGCTAACAAGTTTTGCTGTTTCTACTCCTCTATCAACTGTGGAATACACAACCTGTCACTTCTTGTCTTATGTATTTAGATTGCAAACACTTTGAGATATCACCATATTCATCCACATAATGCATAGCGCAGTGGGATCCCTTACAGACCTGAGGCACTAGTAGAATATAAACAGCAGTAATTTGAATTTGTAAAAATATGATGATATAAGCACACAGATGTACACCACTGGAATGTACACATGCACATCTACATATACCTGTGTATACACACATTTATCTGTTTTAATTATTTCTTCAGAATTTGAAATTTCATCCCAAAAATGAAACAAAAAATAAACCACATGAATAATGTCAAAGAAAAAAACACAGACCAATAAAGCACACAGCTATTTAAAAAAAAAATTTCAAAATTACAAAGTGACCCTGGCCTTCATGGAAAGATTTTAACCTTTTCTTAAGTATAAAAATGTTTAACTTAGTTTTAAAATTAAGGCTTCCAGGCATTGGAATTCTTTTTATAAAGTTTATTTTACAAATGTAAAAAATCCCTGAACTGACCCTTCTTTCTCTTCTACATCCCTGCCACTGTAGTCAAAGAAGATGTCTGAATCTTCAGCCAAAGCTCGCTCAATTACACGTATTGTCCGGTCAAAAAATATCAGGAATTCTTCTGAATGGAGAACTTGCTGTTTTTCTTCTTCTGTCAGTTCTCTAGGAGGAGCTTGGAAAATGAAAAGATGTAGTTAAGAGTATGACATTTCACTCCTTTCCCAATGAATCAACATCTTCAGTGGGTTTCTTTTGACATGAAAGTTTGCTGTAGCAATGTCAGGACAAAAATCAAAGCTTTACTCTTAAAATCATTACTAAGGATTTTTTAGTATATCTAAACATAGTCCTATATATTCCCAAAATGTAGCATTTACACAGAAGAGATCCTATATCTTACATATTTATTATTCTGAAATGGAAAACACTTAAACTCCCCAAATTAAATAAACGCCGTGCTCCTATTTCAGGAAATGGCTCTGACTGACGTTTAGGCAATACCTAACTCGAAAAAGCAGAACACTTATGTAACAGAGGATCTGTCAGAGAAGCCAAAGACAAAATAATCTTCTTAACTTATACTACAGTTCTTTGTGTTAAAAGAGCTCACATAATCTCTCCCTCCACTTCTTTCCATTTCTCCTTGGTGTCGCTGATAAATTCTGTCTCTGCTTTAGAGCTTTTGTGAAGCAAGGAAGTAAATAACCAAAGATATTCCCTGAGGCAGCAAAATTGAAAACAACCAACCAAACACAATTTTTTTAAGGCTGTTTTATTCCTTGCAGAGTAATGCTAAGAGCCAGAGCAAGAAATGCTACTGAACCATGGCCATAGCTGCGCTGGGAAGGGGTAGGAGCTGCCTCAGGGTCTGGGCTAAGGAAGCTCTCATCTCCTGGCACCCGTCAGGATAGCCTGGCCCCTGCAAGATGAAGTTGCTTCTTTACACATGTGCAGAGATGCTAAATCTTTACTTCCAAACTAGTATTTCCAGTATGGCCCTTCATTTGAAATATACTATCTTTGCAAGATGCACCAATGCTACATCTCCATCAGTTTCATGACTTGTTGGTAAATTCCAACTCAAACATGAGCATCAGAGGGAAAGGAAATTGGGATGCTGCTAATGCTACGGTGTAGAATAATGTTCTGAATTACATTAGCACGATCAGTGTTGTATATCAGTTATGCCTTTGCCCACACGTGCTTTTAAATCACCTTTTTAGTTATATTTCAGAATTAGTTGTATTTCAAAAAATGCCGTTAGTATCCTCACAGTTGCACCAAACCAACCTTGCACCTAGCTTAAATTCCCAGCATGAAAAGCTCTGTTGACAGAGGAATTATGCTAAGAGAGAATTTTGTTCCAAATTTATAATTAGGCACACAAACAACATATCCTAAACAGATTTATTGAAAAACTAGAGACTCAGAGTTTAACTGTTGATCAAAGGTCTTCTGCATTTTGCTTTACACTACAGATTTGAGGTGTTTACTTGTGAAAATGACATTGCAGTCTCCCTAGGCCATATTGGGTTAAAACATCAGCAGCTAAAAAAGATAATTCAGCACAACGCCTCAGAGAACACCCAGTAGACATCAACATTTAACTCCAAGCCCTGTCATACAAATCTTAATGTTTGATCTAACGAGTGACACAGTTTAAAGTTGCAGTTCAAAATTATTTTCCAATTGCTGTGCCATGCCACACAGCTACTTTCAGCAGCCAGGGACATGTAGCCCTTGCTCACTGTCTGATTTTCCCATGGTTCACACTAGATTCATAAACTCCGGTGCCCAAGTACAACACCACTATCAGCCCCAGGTGAAAGGATGGATTGAAAGGTACAACAGCAGGTAGGAATAGTGACATGGTCAGCATTATTGCAGTACTCGGCTTCCCCAGTTTTCAGTGTACTTGCTTCCAGAGCACTCCCTGTGGTCAGGAGAGGCTGTTATCACCACGCTTAGGTTTGCCTCAACCAGTCAAGGTATCAGTTCTGAAAGACAAAATCTCTGCACTACACCTGGGCTAAATATAGAGGGCAGGAAATATGCAAAATATGGAGGAGCAGTTTGGCCTTCAGGGGACAAAGTAGCTAAGAACCTAGAGACTTAAGCATTTGATGATCTCCTATGGCCTTGGCCCTATGCCTCCTACCACCAGGTTAGTGGTCGCTGTGGAGGTCCACACATCCAGAGAATATCTACATCCCCCGGCACGGTCATCCTGAGTAGCAGAGTGACAATTACCAAGGCAGGAGCACAATTTGCCTGTAAGTGCTTTAGACAGAAGCAATGCATGTGAAAAAAAAGAATGACTAGTAAAATGTACAGGTTGACCTACTGCAGCATCCACTGCTGAATATTAATTGGCACTAAGGGAACTCATCTGGTAAGGAAACTTGTAATGAGGCAATATCCCACTGTCACCATGAAAGCATTGCTTTCCGAGAATCAAAGACAACAAGCATGATAATGCAGAAAAATGGCATAAAAGGGGAGAAAATAACTGCAAAGGCAACTGGAAAACTCATTTTAAAATGCTCCAAATGGTAAAAATTATTTGCTAAATCAAATCCTCTCTACAGCTTGGAAACATAAATTTATTATTCGGCTATTTGCCGGCTATAACTGGAAAAGAAAATACAAAAGTCAATAGAAAGGGAAAAGGTAAAAAAATAAAGAGCTTTGGAGCTGTTGAGTGTTCACAAGCAATGTGATTGCAGTTCTACCTCAGCAAAATCTCCCTTGCAGTTAGCAATGATCTGTGGGAGGCCAGCAGTCTCTTAAATCCTCTTCAGCATCAGAAACACCTTGGCTAAGGTTTGTAGGGCATAAATCAGCTTACCTCATTCATCTGACTGACACACCAGATGCCCCCTGGCAATATTAAGCTTCATATTTTAACCTTATTTTCTTCTTTCATTCGGCTGCCTCTGAAGTTTTATTTGAGGCAATCTCTTCTTACAAGAATGTTAACATAGTTACTTTTTCCAGTGTAAAACATTGCTGTAACTACTGCAAATACATGAAGTATAAGCAAAAAAATAAAAACAGACAGGCTTGTTCTTTCAAACAGGAAGATTTTCTAACCATTTATCTTTCAGAGCCACTTCCATTTCCCCCTTGTTCCTCTCCTTGTTTCTCCATTACCTTAAATAAAATAAAAAGAATCTATGTAATTTTCTGTAATTTTTCTTCCTATTTGGGAGCTTACAGTTACTTTGATCTCAGCTTTCAAGAGACATAGGCGCTCTTCAAGGAAAACTCTGAGAAAAGCTGATCAAAGTATTTTTTGTTTTGTCAGAGAGACCTATGAGATGTGACACTATCTTCAAAAATTCCCTGTAAGAATACAGCATTTGCCTTCAAGTATCTCCTCTTCCTGGCGTAAAAACCGAACAAACCACATCTAACCTCCCATGTCTAACAAAGCCTAGTGTGATGCTTAGCTTACCATTGCTAAAAGTTACGTGCTTATTGCCTGGAGTGTAATGAAAGCTCCTGCAAAGGAAGACCCATACTTTGCTTTGGTTTCTGTACTGTAGCTTCATAATGAACTATTGGGCCTGTGCTCTGCTTCCCAGCTGGAGGAGCCGAACACATCCATGGCCCCGCACAGCTCATGGCAGGAGGACCATGTTCTGCCTAACAGGGCTGCTGGGCATCCCACCTACCCATGGACCCATGGTAATGTTGACGGCATTGCATACCCACAAGTAGAGTGCTGTCCAGGTGGCTCTGGCGTTATGAGGTCAACAACATGTATCAAAGAAGCCCTGTACTCATATTAATGCATAATACTGTACAAAATAAAAATGGAATTTACATTTGAAATTAAAACACTGTGCAGTTACATATGCACAGAGGGCACCACAGCAGAAGAATATGCAAGATATATCCATAATGAAAGACAAAGTACACTTGTACCTGAGCAAAAAGGTCTAGAATATGTAACAAAAATCGAAAGTGACATGAAAACAACAGATTTATTCAACCTTTACTTCTGAAAAATTTCACATGTGATTTAGCATGATCCTCAGAAATAGCATATTTCACATTATGTCCTTTGTCCACAAATTTCCTTGGATAAAACAGAAAAAAAAAAGCTATGTGAAAACATTTTCTTGCATCTTTAGGAACTAAGATAAAAAAATGCTGCAGACCTTTACTTATCTGGCAGAAGCAGTTTTGTAGCAAATATGATACAAATAGTTCTGATAACAGTGCAGGATCAAATTCACGAATATTTAAATACCAAGATTCAAGTCTTCTCCCAAGGGAGCTAAAAGATACTTTTAAAAAAAAACCCCAAACAACCCAAACCCAGAGAAAAAAGACCCACGTTTAAATAAATATAAAAGAATATAAAAAATATTCTCCTGGAACCTAGAGCAATTGTAAAAACTTGACAAAAAAAATTAAGTCCATTTAAGGCGAAGAAGGAAAAAAGAACAGAAAGAGTAAGTGAATGAAAGAAAGGGCGAACTAATAAAAACAGTAAAGCAGGAAGCAGCCTTGTTAGGAGCCCAGAGATTAAATGAGAGACAGGACAACATTAGTAAAACCCTTTTAAGAGCTGTATTATTTCTTTCAGTGTGTATTTAAACCCATGTAAACTTTAGATGTGCCAAGGACCAAGGATGGTAGAAATGTACAGCGTGAGAACTGCAAGGGGTTAAGGGGCTCTCAGCTGCTTCTCCTGCTTGTCTGCCAATAGTCTGCAATCCTCTTGTTTTTCTTGTGCTTCCCATTTTCATGTCAGACTTGATATGGGCCGTATCCTGGTTGTGTTTGGTTTAAAATGCAAGTTCTTGAATGGCACAACTGCTGAACATGTAAAGGGAGATTCTGAGGCCTATGTAGGGATTTTCAGTTCTGGAGATCAGAGTCCAAAGCCTTAAATGTGAAACTGTGCCAGGCAGGGCTGTTCCCATTGATCGTGGTTCTCCAGGGGCCGGGCTGAGCACCATCCTTGAGCATACCTGAGCTGGGCTCTCAGGATGAGTCAGCACAGCCGAGGTTGCTGTGGTGTCAGCAGCAGTGAAACTGTGCCATTATAAGCTATGACAAACCCCAACGAGCTCACGGGGGTAAGCTGGCAACCGGACCTGCTTCTCTGATACTGAAGCCTGCCTGAGCTGGCAAGAGCTAAAGCTAAACCATCTTCCCCACCACAGGCTGCTATGTGGACAGCCAAGCCTCATGCACAGGGCCAAGGCAAAAGGTGGGCACAGCAGGTCTTTGAACCTGCAGATCCCAGCCTCCCCCATCACAGCCTTTCATGCAGGTTTCTGTTGATATATCCACGGCTTCAGATAAATGCGGGTTGGGGCCCACTTTCAAGACCCAGCCCATCCTGCTGTTCATGTGGTTTCTACTGACACAAAGAGGCGCCTTAGGTGGAGCTCCAGAGCTCTCTGGTGGTGGAAAGTCCCAGCCCACTTGATGCCACAGTTTGGGACCAGTCTCTTGTTTATGTGGTCAGGGGAGACTGGGAACAGGCAGAGCCCAGCCCAGTTCACCAGCAGGCATCCCAAACAGCTCTTCCAAGGACAGTGAAGAGACCATGCACCTGAGACATGGGTGCCAACAGGCAGCCCCATGGAAGAAACACAAGGGGCTTCATATGCTTCAAACGGACAACAAGCCAGGTCTTCACCTCCCACTCCAGAAACACTTTGGGGGACTCAAGCTGCTCTTCTGCCCTTAGCACTTCCACAGCACTGAAGTGCTGCAAGGGATGTTGTGCCAGGCAGGCTGCCCCATTGCAGGTGCACTCAGTGCCTGCTGAATAATCCCACCAAACCCCAAAGAGCAGTTCTGGGGTGTGTGAAGGGAAGACAAGTAAATTAAGCATGCAATAAATGTCTGTAGAATTAAATTGGACTACCGATAAACCACAGAGAAAAAAAAAAATCACATTTCCTCTTAAAATACCATTATAAAAAACAGAGCACTCCTGTCCTGTTGGCTTGGGGAGAGGGAGACTGAAGACTGGATCCAATCTTTTTTCTTCATCCTGAACTACTTTTGAGTTATATTAATGAAAAAATTGTCTACCCTTCTCTCCCCACACTTCTCTCTCCCATGTTTTTTTTTCTTACACTCCTATAACTCAAAAAAGGCCATGCTGATTTTTTTTTAATCTGTTAAAAAATGTGCTCCCTGAGCTGAAACCAAATTTCAGCCCAGAGCAAATTTTTACGGTTGGGTTATAAATCCCTGAAAAACAGGATTCATAATGGAAGTGCTGACACAGCCTTAACTGCTATATAGCAATGTGAATGGCGCCACTATAATATCTATTAGAGATTCTTTAAAAAGTTTGCAAAATATTGTCTTGCCTTGCAGAGAAAAAGAAGACAGAGTACTTAATGCCAACATAAACATGCTTTTAACCCATTATGTGCTAATTTGCAGAAAAGCTATTAATTCCGAATAGGCACACAGAGTGCAGCACCGACAGGAAATGTGCTTCTAAACTCCTGTTCGACTTGTAATATGGTTTTAATCACTTCCATGAAACACAAATGATGGCTTCAAACTCTGCATGTTGCTCAAAACATAAGGGTGATTACAACAGAGAGAAAAATGAGATTTTGTTGGCGAAAGGGCTAAAGCCAACAGGGAGAAAATGACACCAAACACTAAAAATGGGACTCCATTCTCTGTCAGTTTGCGGATGACTGCTTCATTTGATACACAGCATTCAATGCCAGTCATCAGTATGCCACTATTTTATCCATCACAACATGTACTGCAGGTGAAATTCACTTTCTATCAGGCAATGAGCATGTTTCCTTCTTCCTTGAACCCAGTCAAGTGTTAGCACCTCACAAAGCCGGTTCTGCTAAAACAAGCTGTGCCTTGCTTTGACAGCCTGTAGTTTGTGTGTCTGAGGCTAGTGCTAAACTAGCCCAGTTGATTTACTGTTCCTGGGGGGGTGTGCCAGGCAGAGAAGGGGAGCACTGCCCCAAGAATAAAACACAACAAAGAAAAAAAAGATGGTGCTGGTGGCACTCAGTCTGCAAAGGACATAAAAGGCTAACTTGAAAGCCCATGAAAAAATGAAATAAATCAGTTCTTGAATGTATTTAGATTTTTTCTTCCTCTCTTGAAGGAGTTTGTGCTTTCTCCCTAGGTATAAGCACTAGCGTTACTTTTACATGGAAATAAATGGGGGTGGGATCAGCTGTAAGCTGAACACTAGAGGGACATTCAGCAACTCAGGACAGTGTATAAGTGCAGTGGTACCGGTCTTTATGGCTTCCTGTTGTCATCAGTAAAAGAGATACTGTGTTAGGCCAGTGACTGCTAGAGTCTGTAGGTGAGCTGACCCCACAGTTTTGGGAGGAAGGTTAATTTTCAGGAAAAAGCAAGTTCTTCTATGTTGCCATGTTTCTTGCTCATGTCTTCAGTTCTG